GTGGGGGGGGGAGGGGGTAAGTAATGGGTATGTTCATGGGGAACCTGTAGGGGGGGAGGGGGGGGGGAGGGGGTTTAAGTAATGGGTAAATTCATGGGGTAAACCAATGAGGTAAGTAAGTAATGGGTAAACTTTTTTTTTCTCCAAAAAAAAGAAAAAAATCCTTAAAAATCTCATTAAAAAAAAAAAAATCTCAAAAAAAAAAATCTTAAAAAAAAAAAAATCTTTGAAAATAAAAAAAAGGAAAAAAAAATCTTTGAATATCTAAAAAAAAAAGAAAAAAAAAATCTAAAAGAAAAAAAATCTAAAAAAAAAAAAAATCTTAAAAAAACAAAACCCAAAAACCAAAAAACCCAAACCCCCCCTCCAACCCCGCCCTCCAACCCCAACCCCCTCCCCACCCCTCAAAAAAAAAAAAAAAAAAAAAAAAAAAACACACACCACTCGCTCCTTACCCTTAACGCCGTCGAGACCAGGCAGACCGCGAGGACCAGTCGGACCAATAGGCCCTGGAAGACCTGTGTTTCCCTTCTCGCCCTTCATGCCGTTCAGACCGTCCAGACCTGCGAGGCCCTTCTCTCCCTTGCGCCCTGGCAGACCGGGGGAACCTGGGGGGGGGGGCGGGGGGGAAGGGAGAAAGAAGGGAGAAAAAGATTATTAATATTTTCTATTATTGTTATTATTATTATTATTGTTCTTCTTCTTATTATTATTTTTTTTTCTCTCCCTTGCGCCCTGGCAGACCGGGGGAACCTGGGGGGGGCGGGGGGGAAGGGAGAAAAAAGGGAGAAAAAGATTATTAATATTTTCTATTATTGTTATTATTATTATTATTATTGTTCTTATTATTATCATTATTTTTTTTTCTCTCCCTTGCGCCCTGGCAGACCGGGGGAACCTGGGGGGGGGGGGGGGGGGGGGGGGCGGGGGGGGAAAGGGAGAAAAAAGGGAGAGAGAGAAAAAATTATTATTATTATTATTATTGTTGTTTTTCTTATTATTATCATTTTTATTATTATTATTACTGTATCTCCCTTGCGACTTCTGGCAGACCGGGGGAACCTGTGGGGGGGAGGGAGAAAAAGGGAGAAGAAATATAAACATATATATATATATATTTTTTTTTTTTTTTTTTTTTTTTTGCTACTATTATTATTATTGTATAATATATTATTGTATAATATTGTATAATATTATTACTATATTGTATAATATATTGTATTATTATATTGTATTTAATATATTGTATTACTATATTGTATTTAATATATTGTATTACTATATTGTATAATGATATTGTATAATATAGTAGTATAGTATATGATAGTATAATATTATATTATTTTATTTATTCATTTCTTCCTTGCGACCTGTGAGGAACCTGTGAGGGGGGGGCGGGAGGGAGATAGGGAGAGAAAGGGAGAAAAATTAATTATCATTATTATTATTATTTTTATTTATTTATTTATCTATTTATTTATTTGCTATAATTATCATCATTATTGTTATTTTTTCTTATTATTATCTCGTTTTCTCTCCTGTGGGGGGGGGAGGGAGAAAGGGAGATAGGGTGAAAGAATTAATGATCTTTTTAGAGTGAAATTGTTAATTAATGAAGTTAATTATACTATTTATATTCTATGTTGTTATTATTATTATCAATATTAATATCATTATTTTAATCATTATTATTTTAATAATTGATAATAATAATTATTATTTTAACTTTAACTTTAACATCATTATTGAAATTATTGTTATTATTACTATCTTCATTATTATTATTATTATTTTATCATTATTATTCATTATTATTCATTATTTCTTTTCTTATTGTTCTTATTATCATTTTCTTTCATTTTCTCTGTCTCTCTCTTTCTTCCCTTCCTCCTCTCTTCTCTTAATCTTTCTCCCTTCATCTCTCTCTTTCTCTTCTTTCTCCTTCTCCTCTCTCTCTCTCTCTTTCTCTTTATTTCTCTCTCTCTCTCTCTCTCTCTCTCTCTCTCTCTCTCTCTCTCATCTCTCTCTCTCTCTCTCTCTCTCTCTCTCTCTCTCTCTCTCTCTCTCCCTCTCTCCCTCTCCTCCCCCTCCTCCTCCTCTCCCTCTCCTCCCCCTCCTCCTCCTCTCCCTTTCTCTTCCTCCTCCCTCTCTCCCTCTCCCTTTATTCTCCCTTATTCTCTTCTTCTCCCTTTTTCCCTCTCCTTTCACTCCATCTCCCTTTCTCCTCCTCCTCCTCTCTCCCTCTCTTCTTCTCCCTTTCTCCTCCTCCTCTTCTCCTATCTCCCTCCTCCTCCTCCTCCTCCTCCTCCTCTCCCTCCTCCCTCTCCTCCTCCTCTTCTCCTCTCTCCCTCCTCCTCCTCTCCCTCTCCCTCCTCCTCCTCCTCCTCCTCCTCCTCTCCCTTTCTCCTCCCTTTCTCCTCCCTTTCTCCTCCCTTACCTTGCACTCCTGCCGCTCCTGTCTTTCCAGGGAGACCGGGAAGGCCCTGTTCGCCCTTAATTC